TATTTCAACAACTAGATATACCATAAGCCAGAACTGAGAAATTATTTGACTTTGAGGATCTTGACAATCTTATGAATAGTCAACACTCCAGTAAATAGGCTCACAATCCAGAAGGATCTCGACAGACTTGAACACTTGGCCCTATCTAACAAAATGAAATTTAAAAGTAAGTAAGAGAAAAATAAGGTTTTACACTTAGGCAAGAAAAATCAATGTATAGGAACAGGTTAGGTGGAACCTGGCTCAATAGCAGCAACTGCAAAAGAGATCTAGGACTCCTAGTAGACAACCACTTAAATATGAGCTAAACTATGCTGCAGCCATCAAAAAAGTCAATGCAATCCTAGGCTGCATTAACAGAGGGACCAGCTTGGGACACGGAGGGGCAATATTTTTTAGAGAATGTTTGTTGTGGGTATGTGTATGTATGTAGATGAATGGTGGCCCTGTTAGGTATAAATTTTATTATTGTATTTAGGGCGTATGAATGTGAATTATTTTTATTTTTATGTACATTAATTGAGTGTGAATGTGTATTGAGTGTTTGTGGTAGAATGATGGAGTCGGGGGCGGAGCCTGGTGCCCCCTCTGCTGAGTACAATAGCAAAAGTGGGGGGGGGGTGTTGCAGGACTTATCCTTGGGCTTGGTGTGTGTGGAAAGCTAGTCCGGTCAGGAAGGGAGAGGGTTGGTGAGGGTGGGGGTACTCCGGGGAGGGGAGAAGGTCGGAGCATCCTGGTTATGACTGGGATGGGCAGATATGGCGGGAGCCGAGGGGCAGGCCATCTTTGGGGAATGAGGACTCGCTATATTAGAGCGATTCCTTGTTCCGGCCCCTCAAAAGGCCCATCCTGTAGTACTGGTGACAGGGGAATACAGGGCCCTAGTTGTAGGCTGCTGTTGCTTAATGCCAGGTCCATTGTCAACAAAGCCCCCCTTGTCCATGATTTAATATTGGACAGCGGGGCAGACCTGACATGTATAACCGAAACCTGGCTGGGCCCTGAGGGGGGGGTGTTTCCCTCTCGGAGATGTGCCCAGACGGGTTTGTGGTGCTTCATCAGCCTCGACATCAGGGCAGGGGTGGGGGAGTGGCAGTCATCGCTCGGAGGTCCTTGAGTCCTCATGGGATTTCTAACCCGGAGGTTGTTGGGTATGAGTCCCTCCTATTGAAGTTGGGTTCACGGGTTCAGTTGGGCTTGCTGCTGACGTACCTATCTCCCAGCTGCGTTGCAACAGCCCTGCCTGCGCTGCTGGAGTCAGTAGCCGGGTTGGCGGTGGAGTTCCCCAGACTTATGGTACTGGGGGACTTTAACCTGCCATCACTCGGCGAACGCTCAGAGGCGGCACAAGAGTTCATGGCTTCCATGGCAACCATGGACCTGACCCAGGTAATCCAGGATCCGACTCATAGGGGTGGTCACACACTCGACCTTGTGTTTCTCTCGAGGCAATGGAGACATAATCTGGAATTAAGGGGAATAGAGATCTCTCCCTTATCATGGACAGATCATTTCCTATTGAGGCTGGACTTCAGAGCATCACTCCCCCATCGCAGGGAGATGGAGCCGACTAGGTGGTTCCGCCCCAGGCGCCTAATGGACCCAGATCGGTTCCAGGAGGAGCTTGGGGAAATACCTGACTCCCTTGTCCACAACTCGTCCGGGTCCCTGGTTGCGGCCTGGAATGAGGTGGCGTCCGGGGCCCTGGATCGAATTGCGCCTTTGCGACCTCTCTGTGGTGGTGGTCCCTGGAGGGCACCTTGGTTTACTGAGGAGCTCCGGGAGATGAAGCACCACAAGAGACGCCTAGAGCGACGTTGGAGGGCCAGTAACTCTGAATCTGACTGATCACTATTAAGAGCCTATCTTAGGACTTATTTAGTGGCGATAAGGGCGGCAAAGCTTGTTCACTTTTCCGCACTTATTGCGTCCGCAGAATCTCGCCCGGCCGCCTTGTTTAGGGTGACCCGCTCCCTTCTTAAAGTGGAGGAGGCGGAGGAACCCTTGCAGGGGAGAGCTGAGGAGTTTGTTCAGTTTCTTTCGGACAAAATCGCTCAGATTCAGAGAGACCTGGACTCCGACTGGGTAGTGCCAGCCGAGTTGCCGGGGGCTGGTCTTAGTCATGTTATCTGGAGCGAGTTTGAGCCTGTGACCCCTGATGAAGTGGACAATGCCATGAGGGCAATGAATGCCGCCACCTGTTTATTGGACCCATGCCCCTCCTGCTGGTTTCTGCCAGTAGGGAGGTGACACGAGGCTGGCTCCAGGCGATAATCAACGCCTCCTTGATGGAGGGGTCTTTCCCGCAACCTTTAAAGGAAGCGGTGGTGAGGCCCCTCCTCAAGAAGCCTTCCCTGGACCCAGCTGTTTTGAAGAACTTTCGTCCTGTCTCCAAACTCCCCTTTGTGGGGAAGGTTGTAGAGAAGGTGGTGGCGTCCCAACTCTTGCGATCCTTGGATGAAACTAATTATCTGGACCCTTTTCAATGTGGTTTCAGGCCCGGCTACAGCACTGACACTGCTTTGGTCGCACTGACCGATGACCTCTGGCGAGCCCGGGATAGGGGTCATTCCTCTATCTTGGTGCTTCTTGACCTCTCAGCGGCTTTCGATACCATCGACCATAGTATCCTTCTGCGTCGTCTCGGAGAGGTGGGGGTGGGCGGCACCGTATTGCAGTGGTTCTCCTCCTACCTCTCTGACAGGTCGCAGTCGGTGTTGGCGGGCGGACAGAGATCGACCCCTAGGCGCCTCGATCATAGGGTGCCTCAGGGCTCGGTCCTGTCCACCCTCTTTTAACATCTACATGAAACCGCTGGGTGAGATCATTCGGCGACACGGGGTGAGGTGTCATCAGTACGCGGATGATACCCAATTGTATATCTCCACCCCGTGTCCTTTCAGTGAAGCAGTTGACGTAATGTGCCGGTGCCTGGAAGATGTGAGGGTCTGGATGGGGGTGAACAGGCTTAGACTCAACCCTGACAAGACCGAGTGGCTCTGGGTCTTGCCTCCCAAAAGTCAACTTGATGGTCCATCATTAGTCCTGGGGGGGGGGTAAATTTACCTCCCTCAGTGCAGGCACGCAACTTGGGTGTCCTCCTGGACTCACAGCTAAATTTGGAACATCTATTGGCTGTGGCCAGGGGGACCTTTGCCCAGGTTCGCCTGGTGCACCAGTTGCGGCCTTATTTGGTCCGGGAGGCTTTACTCACGGTCACTCATGCCCTTGTCACCTCAAGACTGGATTACTGTAACGCGCTCTACATGGGGCCACCCTTGAAGAGCGTTCGGAGGCTGTAGTTGGTTCAGAATGCAGCCGCGAGAGCGATTGTGGGCGCGCCAAGGTACGCCCACGTGTCACCTATCCTCCGCGAGCTGCACTGGCTTCCTGTGGGTCTCCGGATGCAATTCAAGGTGTTGGTTATCACCTTTAAAGCCCTTCATGGCATAGGACCAGGTTACTTACAGGACCGCATACTGCCGCACAGTTCCCAGAGACCGGTGAGGTCCCACAGATTGGGCCTCCTTCAGATCCCGTCGGCCAGACACTGTCGGCCGGCGGGCCCTCAGGGAAGAGCCTTTTCTGTGGTGGCTCCGACCTGGTGGAATCAACTTCCCCCCAAGATTCGAACTACTCTCACCCTGCCGGCCTTTAAGAAAGCCATTAAAACTCTCCTGTTCCGGCAGGCCTGGGGCTGATGTCCCCGGGGGGGGGGATATGATCGGACACGCTGTATGAATGTATTTATTTTATTGTTTTATTGTCATATTATTGTTTTAAATTTTGTACGCCGCCCTGAGTCCCTTGGGATTGGGCGGCATATAAATTTTAGAAATAAATAAATAAATAAATAGAATCAAGATCACATAAAGTGATAGTATCATTTTATAATGCCGTAGTAAGATCACACTTGGGATACTGCATCCAGTTTTGGTCTCCACAATATAAACACGATGTTGAGACTCTGGAAAGAGTGCAGAGAAGAGCAACAAAGATGATTAAGGGTCTGGAAGTTAAAATATATGAAGAACGGTTGCTGGAATGTCTAGTTTAATGAAGAGAAGGACTAGGGGTGACATGATAGCAGTGTTCCAATATCTCAGAGGTTGCCACAAAGAAGAGGGAGTCAAGCTATTCTCCAAAGCACCTGAAGGCAGGACCAGAAGCAATGGATGGAAACCAACCAAAGAGAGAAGCAACCTAGAACTAAGGAGAAATTTCCTGACAGTGGAACGGTTTGCCTTCAGAAGTTGTGAGTGTTCCATCACTGGAGGTTTTTAAGAAAAGATTGGACTGCCATTTGTCTGACATGCTATAGGGTCTCCTGCTTGAGCAGGGCGTTAGACTAGAAGAACTCCAAGGTTCCTTCCAACTCTGTTATTCTGTTATGCATTCACTCATAAATATAATATATAATAATATAAGTACACATACACAAAAGATGAGGATTATTTCCTAGCCTTGGTAAAATTCTTAAGGAAAGTCTGTTAAAATAGTCCCCTTCCTGTTAATGTCTCTGCTTCCATGAAGATAATGGACTGAGAAAGTTTACAATTGCAAGAGCCTGGCCATTCCATTCAGAAAACTTTGTAATTAAGGGCCTTGGAAGAAAATAACTTTTTGGTCCATATTCTTTCAAGGTATGCCTTGGCCATAGCACAGGCCCATCACAGCTGAATGTGGTCTGCAAAATAAATATCTAAAATCTATAGAATCGTTCTGCAATATTTCAGGGGACTTAATTACCTTCCACTGAAACAAAAAGAACTACTTATATAATCATACTAAAAGTAAACTCAGTGCTATTTGTAAAACAACCTCCTACTGATGAACTGCAGCTGAACCAATTTTTGATTTATTTCCTTTTCCCCTAAAGTTGATAATTCCTACTTCAACTCTAAGACAACAATTCTAAGAAAATATAGATGGAGGATAAAAATTACTCACAAGGCTCAACATGTGCATGTTGGCAAGAGATTAAAAATACACTTACTAACCTTTCTCAGCTCATCTGCAATAAGAATTTCATCATGGTATTCATCAAAACACTTTACAATAGTCCCATTTTCTCGGACAAGTCCTTCACAGTATAATCGGTCAAAAAATGACATAGAAACTTGGGTACACAAAATATTCTTGGCGTCAACTTTTTTCACTTTAGTATCTGAAAGATAAAAGGCATCTGCATGATATTTTCCACTTGCAGGTCTGCAAGGTCTCCTATTTTCTAGGCCAGCACCTTAACCACTACCCCAAACTGGCTCTCTATTTAATTCATGCTTCTGCTCTTTTTTCCTATGGAGGGGAGAGGAGGGGAGAGTAGAGATGAGGAGAAATGGAGAGGAGAGGAATGGAAAGGAGAGGGGAGGGGATAGGAAAGGAGAGATCAAAAACAGTTATATCTTCAATAGATTGCCTTGCATAACCCATTATAATTCAAATTAACATAGAATAAAATATTGTCTTTACTTATTTAGGACGATACATTTTAATAATATATTATAACATTATAGCTCAAATACCAGACCTTGAAGTTTTTCTATTAAATGCACTATTTTTTTTTACTGTATATGTATTTTTAAACAGCCTCAGCTTTAAAAGCCTCTTGTCAATGTGCTATTGAAGTGAACAGGAAACATTCAAGTACTTTTCTAGAAAAAAATTACATATAATTGTTTTTTGAACAGCAAGTACATATCTTTACTTCTAAGTAAAAGTTAAGATGGAAAAAAAAGAAACAGTGCTAACTGAAAAAAGAAAATAGATTTAAAAGCATCCAGCAATACTTGTAAAGAAAAGGCGTTGACTGAATTTTTTTTTCTTGATTTTTCCATGTGTGTGTGTGTGAGTGAAATGAACAAAGAAATAAAACATTTTTATATTATCCTTATGCTGTAAACTCTCCTAGAAATTTAACATATTATAAAATGCAAATATTATATAGCATAATAAAACTATAATTAAACTGGCACTGAGAATTTCAGGTAAAATTAAATTACACATCTGGGAAGAAATGTCTATACTTAGGACAACATATCTAGAATGCTCTTTTGCCAGTTGTATGCAGTGCCTGGTGAGTGAAATTGTAAAATCTTTGAAGATGTTAGTTACAGCTAAACTGATCTGAACGAGAATAGTTCCTCCAGTCTGAAGACACGTACAGCACTAATAAGTAAACACCAATACTTTAGATTGCAGATAAAGTCCAACCAGGCCTGAAGCCAATAGTTGTTGCTTTTTTTAAAAAAGAAGTTTGATTCATTTACTACACTAAAATGTTGTTAGTTGGTCTGTAATGTATGAACTGCCATTGTGGTTAATTATATGGCTCAGTATGTGCAGCAAACCTAGGCAATTGGAAAATTCATTGATAGATAGATAGATAGATAGATAGATAGATAGATAGATAGATAGATAGACAGACAGACAGACAGACAGACAGACAGACAGACAGACACACAACCTTTATTGTGTTGTGAGAATAAAATCATTGAAGAAGCATCTTCCAATAGGTGCATGCCATTTAATAAATAATTATCCAAATGCATAATTATGGACAATATATTATAAATCTAATCTGGAAATTAACCAAATATAGGTGCTGATCATACCTTTTTTTGTTCACACCTCCCTTGATTTTCTAGTGACAAAACTGGATCATGGATCACATCACAATGCAAACTTGATTCTTTTAGGTATGTGCAAGTAATTGCAAAGTAAAGTTTAATCTGCTGATTTCTGCACATGGCCATGCCACTAGAATCCTGAAGGAATATCAGGATATTTTCCCCCAAGATTACTTTTGGAAACCTTTCAAACTAAAAAGTTACATTTACTTTCCTGAGTATAGCCTGGAATAAATATAAAATACACAGTATGTTTTAGGGAGCTACTACCCTGAAGAAACAAATTAAGACATAATGAGGACTCTTCAACAGACCTTAGATCAGTGGTTCTCAACCTTCCTAATGCCGTGACCCTTTAATACAGTTCCTCATGTTGTGGTGACCCCCAACCCCCCATCCAGATGGCCGGGGAGTATCAAAAACTTGACCAAAAAAAAAAAAAGAGGAAAAAATGGGAAAGTATAGGTAGTCCTCGACTTACAACAATTCACTTAGTGACTGTTTGAAGTTACAACAGCACTGAAAAAGCGAATTATGATCATTTTTCACAGATATGATTGTTGCAGCATCCCCAGGGTCATGTAATTTACATTCGGATGCTTGACAACTGATTCATACTTATGACATTCACAGTGTCCCAGGGTCACGCGATCAATAGCCAGGGGGCGTGGCCAGCTGATTACTCAGGTTGCAGAGTGCCTGTGGGGGGGGGGAAATCTGTGGGTCTCTGGGATGGGACTGGGTTGGGTGCCTGCCTTCCTTCCCTCCCTTCTCTCCCCTTGTCGTTTCCTTCCTTCTTTTCTTCCTTTCCTTCACCTCCCTTAGTCTCTTCCACCTTCCCTCCCTCTTTCCCACTGTCCCTTCCTTCTTTCCTTCCTTTCCTTCACCTCCTTCTTAGTCTTTTCCTCCTTCCCTCCCTCTTTCCCATTGTCCCTTCCTTCTTTCCTTCACCTCCTTCTTAGTCTCTTCCTCCTTCCCTCCCTCTTTCCCATTGTCCCTTCCTTCTTTCCTTCACCTCCTTCTTAGTCTCTTCCTCCTTCCCTCCCTCTTTCCCATTGTCCCTTCCTTCTTTCCTTCACCTCCTTCTTAGTCTCTTCCTCCTTCCCTCCCTCTCTCCCATTGTCCCTTCCTTCCTTCTTTCCTTCCTTTCTTTCACCTCCCTTAGTCTCTTCCTCCTTCCCTTCCTCTTTCCCATTGTCCCTTCCTTATTTCCTTCTTTTTCTTCCCCTCCCTCTTAGTTCCTTCCTTCCTTCCTTCCTTCCTTCCTTCCTTCCTTCCTTCCTTCCTTCCTTCCTTCTTGTCCCTTCCTTCCTTCCTTCCCTTCCATTGTTCCTTCCTTCCCTCTCCCATTGTCCCTTACTTCCCTCCCTCTTCCTCCCTTCCTTCCTCCCCCCCTCTGTGCCCAGGAAGGGACAAGGGGAGGGGGACAGGCTGCCAGAGGCAGAGGAGAGCTCCGCCCAGCTCACTTGCTCAGCTTCGCCAGAAAACATGCCGCTTGCTAAGTTAGCAGAAGCCCCAGGATCAGCACCAGGCTATAGCTGATTCGCGCTTCTGCTAAATTAGTAAGCGGCATGTTTTCTAGCAAAGCTCGAGCAAGTTTGCTGGGCAGGAGCCAAGGAGAGCTGCTACAGCTGACCTGCTTCTTGGCTGCTCTGCAGAAGCGCGGATCAGCTGTAGAGGTTCGCCCTGATCCCCGAAAAGAGGGAAGGAAGGAAGGACGGAAGGGACAAGGGGAAAGAGGGAGGGAAGGAGGGACAAAGAGGGAGGTGAAGGAAAGGAAGGAAGGAAGGAAGGAAGGAAGGAAGGAAGGAAGGAAGGAAGGAAGGAAGGGAGGGAGGGACAAGGTGAAAAAGGGAGGGAAGGAGGGACAAAGAGGGAGACGAAGGAAAGGAAGGAAGGGAGGGAGGGAGGGAGGGAGGAAGGAAGGAAGGGACAATGGGAGAGGGAGGGAAGGAGGAAGAGATGAAGAGGGAGGGAAGGAAAGGAAGTTTCAGCCAGCAGAGGCTTGGCAGCCCGGCTGCCAAGGAACAGAAGAGTGCAAAGCCAAGGAGAAGAAGATGGCGGTTTCCTCCCAAAGAGGGCTCCTTTTCTCCACCCCTTCCCTGGGTTTGTGGGGAATTTCTCGTCACCAACGCTGACAGGTGCTTCTTCGAACCCGCTGTGAGCTTTCTCGCCCCCTTTGCTTCTCCCCCCTCCCCGCTTTTGGGAGGATTGTGGTGCCCTTGGGAAGCCGATCGTGCTTTGAAGCTTAGGAGAGGAGGAGTCCCTTTCCCCTTCCCTCCCTCTCTCCCTGTCAAGCCCCAGCGGGCTCAACATGAACGGGCGGAGGAGTCAAGGACGGGTGGGGTGGCAAAGGAGACCGGCGGCCATCGCCAGACCTCTTGGCTGACAAGTGCAATTTCGGGGGTCGCCAGCTGACGGGCGCAGGAGTTGGGTGCTGCGGCGGCCTCCCCTTTGCTGACCTGTGTGCACGAGAAGAAGTCAATCCGGTTGCTGCAGAATGAGTCTCTGGGGAGGGCGGGGCCTTGCTCTGCGCCTGCACTCTTCATGCACCCCCTGCAGGGCACATTTGGTAGAATTTGTGCAGATTGCCACCAAGCAGCATATTTTCCACAAACAAGTGAGGTGGAGTGAAGGGGGGGAAGGGAGAGAAGGCGGTTGACAAGCCCTGCCTAAGACCATCGGAAATATGTGTTTTCCGATGGTCTTATGTGATCCCTGTGAAAGGCTCGTGTGACCCCCAAAAGGGTCGCGACCCACAGGTTGAGAACCGCTGCCTTAGATAATGACTTATAAGTGAATGGTTAGAAGAACAGAACAGAATAAAAATCCTCAATCAACTGTAATATCAAGAAATCTACAAACCTGAGCTGAGGATCTGCCACTCACTTAGTCACATACTAAGCTATGTTATGGATTTCTATAATCTGCCCCAAAATGTTCTAATGTTTAATGCGTTACTACATTCACATTTGATTGGTATCAGTTTTTAAAAAAGAAAATTGAATTATTTATAATTCAAATCAACATCACAAATCATTAACCAAAAACATTAAAGCATATAATAAAGGGTTCTGAAGAAAAAAAATCCAGTATAGTCCCTTATCAATTTAACAGTAACATGTTCACCTTTGTAATAATGTTATCAAGATAACATCAGTTCCAAGCCTAGTGGTTGCAAGAGAAAAATAATTACACTGAAAAAGGATTTAAAAGATAAGAAAAACTTATCTTAAATATCCTCTACTTACTCAATGTAGTCCACTGTCCAGATGATGAAAGCAATTTCAAATTGCTGTTAACTTCTGAGTGATTAAAAAAAGCCTAGAAGTATAGAGACAATGAGAAGTCATTAATTAGATTCTGTTATGAAATAATATCTGATGGGCGTGTTAAATTAGATGACAACTACCAGACACTGCGTACTTCCAACTGTCTGGAATTTGGGACTACCTTCCAAATTGGATTTTATTCACGTGAGTAGACTTGCAATCATTCCACTGATGAAATCTATAATATATATATATATATATATATATAAATATAAATATAAATATAAATATAAAGATATATATCCATGTCTCTTTATAAACCAGAGAAGTCTGGCCACTTGCTTCAAAATCTTGTCATGCCAAAAACATGATTTTTCTATGAATGAAAAATATTTATTAGATTATGGAATAACCAAGTATATTAATATTTGATACTATACACTGCACAGTAATAAAAAAAATTAAAAGCAGCATATAACATTCATATAACATTTTCTAAGCTCCAATTCACTACTCATCATTTTGAAGCTGCTTCACACCCCAGATCAACATAACCCTATACATTAATCACTATTGCTTATGTGCCTTCAAATCAGTATTCCATAAATAAGATTTTCTCCAGGATGACCTCTTTCTAACCTTCAGGACTTCCAAATCTGCATTCATTTCTGCCGTAATCAAGTCCATCTACCTTGTTGTTAGTATCCTCTTCTTTCCTTTTACCTTTTCTAGTATAATAGACTTCTCAAAAGAGCTAGATTTTTGCATAATGGGTCTAAAATATGATAATTTAAGCCTGGTCATTTGTGCCTCAAAGAATTCCGGATCCATTTGTATGATGATCCATTTATTTATTTGGCTATCCATGGTATTCTCGTAAGTCAACTCTATCACCGAAGTTCAAAGATGATAACTTGCTTTCTATTTTGCTTTTTTACTTTCAAAGAGCTCATAGGAAAATAATCTCCTAAATAATTCTGATATTTATAGATGATTGACTTATTATAGCAGCTGATCATGTTGCCAAGGCCTTTATTACTATTCTGACAAATTCTAGTTTGCAGAGTATTTCTTGATTGCTGGCTCCTTTACTGTTGACAACCAATTCTAAAAAGGAGAAGCTATTCACTATTTTAATATCTTCAATGTATTTTCTAAGGCCAGTTGTATCTATTGCCATTAGCTAGAGCAGTGGTGGCGAACCTATGGCACGTGTGCCAGAGGCGGCACTCAGAGCCCTCTCTGTGGGCATGCGCGCCATGCCACAGAGATGACAACCGTCCCTCTTCAACCAGCTGCCCACTAACTTGCCGAGGTCCCACATGGTTGGATGCATCCCAGCACCCATGCGCTCGCTGGCCTCTGTGTGCAGGGGCCTATGATGTCAGGCAGCAGCCGCCCCAGCCCCTGCCCCACCTTGCCCTGTGACAATGGCACCCCTGCCCTGCCTCGCCTTGCCATGCCTCACCCCGCAGGACGAGCCTCCTGCCCACCGCTCCACCTGGATCTCTCCCAACCCTGCCCAGCCCCCACAGGCGTCCCTCCCCACGAGCAACATTGAGATGATCACGCCCACCTTGGCCACACCCACCCAATCTTCCATGACCACCACAGCCACACCTATTCAATGGGCCACGTCCACCTGGCACCTGGTGATAAATAAGTGGGTTTTGGGTTGCAGTTTGGGTACTCGGTCTCTAAAAGGTTCGCCATCACTGAGCTAGAGCTTTATATCTAACTCAGTTCCTTTTTTCACTGTGTTCCTGGACTTCCTTTACTAAAACTTGTAGATCAGACATGTCAAACTTGCGACGTCACATGACGTTGCGCAAAGTATCGGGATGGTTTTGCCATTGCCAGCAATGGGGTGGGCGCAGCTTCTGTGTGACGCATCCGGCCCATGGGCCAGCAGTTTGACACCTGTCGTAGATCATTTGTATTTTCAACTATCAGAGTAATATTATCAGTACAGCAAAGATTTATATTTTTTTGCCTCCAATTTTAAAAGACCATTTATTTCCAATCTAGTTTCCCTCCCTATTTATTCATCACATACACTGAATAAATTAAGGGGAGACTATTAGTGACTGCAATCCCGTTCTCAATCACCATTGTAACCCTAGGACTATCTATCTGTACCGTGCACATTTACGGATATTTTTATAGGTTTGTATATTACCAAGAATCTGATTACTGTAGGTAATGCAATGCAATGCAAAATAAAACATTTAGATGCCTCTTCATGTTTAACTTGCCCTGTGAAAATGAGAACCCAAATCTCATTTTGTATATATGTCTGTGGAGATTCTCAGTCACCCAGGTAATAATTGTCTCAAAGGTGCTTTTTCAAAAGACAGCTGGACTGTTTTAGCCTTAACGGAAAAAAATGTTCTGCTTCTCTTCCAAGAAGCTTCATCGGGATGGGTGGGTAGAAGGATAGGTACTGACAGTTGAGACTGGATGGTGGGGAAATGGAAGGATAGATTCTGATAGGTACTGACAGGTAACTGATAAGTACTGACAGTTACAAACAATTGTATTTACAAGCCTTCACAATCACTGCCACCATCCTATCAAATCCTATCCTTCCATCCCCCCCACCATCCAGTCTCAACTGACAGTATCTATCCTTCTATTTCCCACACCATCAGAACTGATGAAGCTTCTTGGATGAGAAGCAAAATATTTTCTTCTTCTTTCTCAAAGAAAAAACAGTCCAGTTGCCTTTTAAAAAAAAGCATCTTTGAGACTTCTTGTATGTAGCCACTAATCATTAAAAAATCCTAGAACATACTGAATTGAGAAAGATTAAAAAATAATACATTAACTATCTTCTTGGGGAGTTTATTTACTATTAACTGACATTCTAATTAAGAAACATGGTGCCTTAATAAGTTCCTTATTGTGTGTGTGTGTATACACACATATACATATACATACACAGAATGCAAAACCTAAGCACTCTATTATTTTATCTTACTCTGCTATACACATACATATACACAAACAGATTTATAAATATGTTAATCAAAAAGAAGGTCCTTCTATAAGTATTTTCCCATTAATTATTTTGAAGATGTTAATCTATACCACCCTCAGGATATACATTGGTTGGCCATTAATGGCATGCAGAGAAATCTTCTCACCACCTAGAAAAATACTCACAGTTTTGATGTTACATCTAATTATAAAAGCCATGCAGGTTTCTACAATAGCTGAAAACAGATCACTGATGTACATCCCTTTCTTCAAAGGCAAATGTTTTTCATTACTATTATGCAACAGTTTACAGAGGCATATATAGTATATACTATAATTCTTAACTGCCTATATGAGTATGGCTGTTGATTATATTCTTACTTTCTTTTTAATATTTATGACATTCTACTTTGAATGATTTAATTTAATATTGAAAAGTAGGATAGTAATAAACTAACTGGTCTAGAATGGAAGAAATCCAGCTTCAGGTCACCCCTTCATGGAGGAGTTAATTGGATTACGTTTTGAGTCATTCTGTAATTTATAGGAATATTATTCTGAGAATAAAATGAGGGGATATCTCCTTACATGCCAGCTTAAGTTCCTACTGAATAAGGGGAATATAAATAAATGAATAATCCTTTAAATAATAAATAAAATGTGGGTAACTACCATTAGAAAATCATCTTGTTGGTAGCCTTTGAGATTCTGATCAAAACTGAATGCCTGTGCTGTGATTCTGCCATCCATGGACCTGTAAAGAAATGCTAGAGTTAGTTTATAAATGATGTTTAATAAGACAGTAAACAGTTATTGAAAAAGAAGGAGTTTGAATATACAACAAATGCTGCCTAGGAAGAAAAAAAATTAGCATTGCAAGTGAAATATTAATATAATTATCCCTGGTATACAATGGGTTTTGTATCATTTCTATAAATGATTGGAACAGGCTAAATTACAGCATTCAAATTCTAGAACTACTCATATAGAACATGTTTCTGAATTCAGGGCATGAAACAACCACTTATATTGTCATATATCATATGTTACATAGGAGCTCATAGGTTATTCTAATAGCCCAAGTCTAATCAGCTCTCACTCTATTCAATACATATTTTTATTTTTAATTGAGCATTGTGTCTTAACTTTAAATTTGGAATGCCTTATTTTGAAGTCTAACATAATTGTACAGATATATAAATCAGAGTATGAATTGTCTTTTAAATTTAAAATAAAGAAAATTATTTAAAAACATAATTATCTTCATTTGTAAAATAGATGGGATTGTGTACAAATATCAATATAATACAAATGTGAACAAACAAAGAGAAGTTGAGCTAATAAAAACAAGGACAAAGAATATCTAGTTAACCCAGAAGAAGTGAATGATGTTTGTAAAATTAGAGATCAGTCATCAACTGAAAAACATGCATATTGAACAATGCACCAGTAGTTCTTGATAAGGGTTTTTGGAGGACTAATTAAATGCTTTCAGAAATAGAAAATGAGAATATCAAAATCGATTAATTTCAAATTATTGATTCTTGCTCCACCTGATTGTAGTGTAGTTATTATATAAATGTATATATCTCTATAGTTTTGGAAAAGCAGGCAGTAGTACCAATCAGAATCTGCTATTCTGATTCCACATCCAAACCTATTCTGATTGCAACATAGCTATTTTCACACCTGATGTTCTGACTGGAAGCCTAACTAGAATCTTAAAGAATGGAAGCAATCTTAGTTTGTCCACATGTACACACATACACACACACAAAGAGAGAGAATCATCTGCTAATGCCCATGCCTGGAACTGTTATTTCAAAACCCATACAACAACAACAATAATAATAATCCAGATATTGGACATTATAAAACCTGGCGATCACAAAATACAAAGATCTGCAAATAGAATGACTGACCAAAAAAAAAAAAAAAAGCAATAGTATCAATAGTAATGGGTGCCTTGGTTGCAAACCCAAAACATCTGGAGCACCAATGGAACACAATCGACATTGACAAAATTGCCATCAGTCAATTGCAAAAGGCAGCTTTACTTAGAACAGCTTTCATCCTGCCACGATACCTCTAACTCCATCAGACAACATCTGCCTATCCCAAATCCTTCGGAAAGGCTCATAGATGGTCAAAAATGCCTAATCCGATTAAACATCTGTATGACCAACTTGCATGCTTCCTAACTCAACGACTCTGCTGGGCAGCTCAGAACGACCAAAGAACTTACAATAAAACCTGTAAAACTTTAAAAATAAAAGAGGGCAAAAAAAATCTGAATTCTTTTTTAAAATCTAGCCCTTTTCCGTCTTAGTAGGAGCAAAGGTGACGATTTGCTCGCTCACCGAAGTCCAAACTTCCTCCCCACCCCCATTTCTCTAAACATCCTCACTTCTTGCTTCTCCCCCATCCAGCCGAGAAAGGGACAAATGTTAGAAGGCCCTCCCCACCATTTGAGTAGCCGTTCCCGTGTGCCTTTGCTCTCCAAGGCCGGAAAGCTTTTCTGGCGGAGGTAATGGAAAGTATATCGGGACTCCGAGCCGTGGTCCCCGCAAGCCGACATAGTCGCTTTTTAGCACTTAGACGCGCCAGCGGTTACCATGGGAACCAGTTTTTCTCGGCGCCAAGTATTTTGGGGCCCCTCCGGAACATGCGTCCCGGGGACAAAGGTTCCGTTTGCCTCCCTTCAATAGCGAGACGGAAGAGAAGGACGAAAACGCGGTGCTGTATACCGCCAGTTTGACTTCCGCCGAGGGTGGGCTATATCTCTCTCACCAAGCAGTCTCGAAGTAACAGAGGGGGTGGTTCAACCCTCAAGGAAGGCTCTAGGTCGGAGAAAACGGCTTTGCCTCTCCTGCTTTGGAATAAGATGCATTATTCAATGGAACTTTTTCTCCTTTGGGCTGCATTATATCTTGTGGATATTAAGTATTTATGTTCTGCCCTTTACATTACTTTTCACAGTTTTTTAAATCATAATACTATTTCAGAAATAAAGAATTCACCAATGAAATACAAAAGTCAAAATGAAAGGCATTCTCAAGATAAGAAAAGCCTTCACATTTGATCAATATAGGTGGCCTCCATCACAATATTTCTAAGCAGTGAACATATGTAGAATTAAGGCTAAAAGTCTGGAGGAAAAAAACAAATCATAGCCAATAACTGCAAGACTACTAGCATTCTCCCTTGACAAAACAAATAATTGCATACAATCAACATAAAAGAGGGAGGTTGTAGAAATCAACTCTACGAGGTAAACTAGAACAGAACACTAGAACTCTATTGAGAGAGCAGTGGTTCTCAAACATTTTGATTTCAAGAGCCATTTGCATTCTTAAAAGTGATGGAAGACCCCAAAGACCTTTGGTTTCTAATGGTTATATCTATCAATAATAGAAATTGAAATAGAGACATTTTAAAGTATTATTTAATTTAATTTATTTGATTTTGCATACTGTTGATTCTTAGTCTGACTACCTTATAGAGCTGACATGGTGTGACATGGGCAAATTATATACATTGTGCACCCACTGTAGCTTCCAAGTGGTCTTCGAAGACTGGGTCCATAATGATAGTCTGAATGGGAGGTTGACAATGAGGAGATTGATCATGAAAAGAGCCTTCCAATCCAGGAAAATAACTGTTTGCAGTAAGTAAAAAGGATGGCCTTGGATGACAGAGGGAAGACCCAACATAAAACAGCAATCCAGTAAATGAGACCTAAGCCCAGGTCAAAGATGTACCGTAGCTTACAAAAATGCCTCAGACAGTGCCAACCCCAGTCCAGGAAAGGTTATAATTGGTATGAAAGATGAATCTATCCCCAGGCCCACTGAGCAACTGTTGACAGTTCAAGATGAGCCATAAATTATATACAAGATTGGGCAAATACAAAACCCATCAAGAACTAAAGCTGGAAAATTCCTGGAATCAGAAAGTCCTTGAATCCATAGCCATTCAGTCTTGCTAGAGATGAGCCTAAGCTTATTTCTCCCTATCCAGATTCTGATAATCCTCAGGGAGAAAACCTAATCTGTATTGCTTGTTTGGCCCAAGGTCAAATTATAAAGTTAGCATCATCAACTACTTAATAATATCTGGCCCCATAACAATAGATGACCTCACTTAGCAGCCTCATGTAGTTATTAAGTAAGAATGGGAAGTTTCTCAGGCCATGAGAAACCCTACAAATCTCTTTCCCCTCTACGAACACAAACTGGAAGGAAGAAAACTATAACATAATGCCCTTCACTTCAACATACAAAGTTCATCTAGATATCATAATAGATGGCATTGAAACCTGCCAAAAAAAAAAAAACAAATAGAACCAGTAGAGTTATATCTGTCTTGGTCCCACTAATGGTCACACAGTTTCCCCAAAATATTCATTAAGAGTTGAATATATTTGGGACTGATCTTTCTAAACTTTCAAAAAATTAAAAATAAATGCATTAAGTGTATTCCATCTGAGTACTACTACTATCATTGTTTAGGCTAGCAGAAGTTCTGCAGTTGGATTAGTAACAACCAAATGTTGCCTTGGTAGACAGCCAATGCAGGAAACTAAATGGAAGAGCAGACTGCTAATTCGTCTGGCATGGCATTTGATGCCATGGGTCAATGGAATTATTGTGAAGTCCACACTTGGATTTACATAGTATACATAGTATAGTTTGATTTCAGTAAGGCATTTGACAAAGTAGATCACAACCCACCTCTTGGTAAGCTAAAAAAATTGTGGGATAGATTGCATCAACATCAGATGAATATGATGGTGACAAATCACACTCAACATGTGGAACTACATCTACATGGAAGGAAGGAAGCAGAAGGGTACCCCAAGTTTCTGTTCCATATTCTTCAATGTCTTCATAAATGATTTAGAATAGGGAATATAGGGGGAACTCATCAAATTTGCAGACAAGATTAAACTGGTAGGAATAGCCAGATGGATCTCTACAGACTTGAACACTGGGCCCTACTTAATAAAATGAAATTCAATGTAGAGAAAAGTAAGGTTTTTCACTTAGGCAAGAAAAACCAAATGTATAAGTATAGAATATGTTGAATTGCTCAATAGCAGTAACTGTGAGAGGGATCTTGGAGTTCTAGTGGATAATCACTTAAATATGAGCCAGCAGCGTGCCACTGCTGCCAAAAAAACCCAACACAGTCTTAGGCTGCATTAACAGAGGGATAGAATCAAGATCCTACGAAGTATTAGAACTGCTTTATAAAGCCTTAGTAAGATCATACTTAGAATACTGCATCCAGTTTTGGTCACCACAATTTAAAATAGCGGTTCTCAACCTGTGGGTCACGACCCCATTTGGGGTCGAACGACCATTTCATGGGGGTCGCCAAACAACGCAGTCCGCCATTTTTTTCCCTTTTCCTTAGCTGTGCTACTCCCTTTTATTCTATTGGCTTTTGAAAGCCAATAGAATAGACTCTCTTGAATAGAGTCTAATTCTATTGGCTTTCAAAAGCCAATAGGAATTGTCCAGGCTGTCTCTGCCCTGCTGAGCCCGCCAAAAGTCCCATTCTGCAAACGGTGCTGCAAGTTGTCTGCAGCGAAGGCGAGCTGTCTGGAAGTTTCCACCCCTCTCTGCTGAGCAACTACTAAAAATGTAAGTAAAAGAGGGCCAGGGGTGGGAGGTGGGAGGCCGGCGGGTGCAGGGAGGGTTGCTGGTGCGCGTGGGGCCCGGCAGGTGCCTTACCTTCCTTGGGCTGGGCCAGCTGGTGGCCCAGCCGGTGGTCACCCTGCGCCGTCGCTGCCCCTTGCCAGCTACGCCTCAGCTGGCATGGGGGTGGCATCACGCATGTGCAGCGCTCCCGGGCAGGGAAAGTCCTCGACTTTCGACCGGTTGGGTAGTCCTCGACTTACGACCGGTTGAGTAGTCCTCGACTTACAACCGGTTGGGGGTCGCGGCATTAAAAAGGTTGAGAACCACTGATTTAAAAGGACGTTGAGACTCTGGAAAGAGTGCAGAAAAGAGTAACAAAGATTATTAGAGGGCTGGAGCCTAAAACATGAAGAATGGCTGCAGAAATTGAGTATGTCTAGTCTAGTGCAAAGAAGAATTGGGGGTGACATGATTGCAGTATTTGAATTTTTGAGAGGCTGCCACAAAGAAGAGGGGGTCAAACTATTTTTCCAAAGAACCAGAAGACAAGACAAGAAACAGTGGATGGAAACTAATCAGGGAGAGAAGCAACCTAGAATCAAAGAGAAATTTCCTAACCCCTAGAACAATTAACCAGTGGAACAGCTTGCTGTCAGAAGTTGTGGGTGCTCCATCACTGGAAACTTTTAAGAAGAGATTGGACAGCTACTTGTGTGGAATGGCATAGGCTATAGGGTCTCCTGCTTGTGCAGGGGGTTGGACTGCTAGAAGGTCTCTTCCAACTGTCTTATTCTATTATTTCTGAACTGCCTTATGGAATTGGGTATTGGAGGTATTGTATTATAAAGGTTTTAATCATAGGCTTCTGCACAGGAGCAAGGGGAAAGATGACAAATGATGTGGCATCATTATGATGCAAATCACAACATTTGCATGCAATGTTACATTGCAAGGACAAAAGACTAGAATTTTAGCTGTGACCACATACTTAGCCATTTTTGCCTTACTGCAACCTGTGGTTCAGGCTTACCTGTCAGCCACCTAGAAGGCACTGGTGCCAGGGTTTTTGTCTTGTCTTCGAAATGTTTCAGCATCTACATGGAACCCCTACAGGAGGTCACCTGGAGTTTTGTAATGAATCTGATATCACTCAGCTCCATGGTTGTTTATATTCACTTCCAAATAATGAACAGCAACTTAGATTGATATTTGTGTTCAATAATGAGCTAAATGAGGGAGGACACACTGGAATTAAATCCAAAGAAAATGAAGATGAAGACATTATTGGTAAATAGAAAACTGAACTTGATATCAGTGATTTAGCCTGTTTTGAACACTGATAGGAGTGTTCCTTATTCTTTAGCTATCACTGAAACATTTTATTCTACAGAAATAATTTTAAGGGATTGTCTGTCAAAATTGTGCTTTCCTCCAAATGTTCCTTTCAAGATAAAGGTCTCCTTTTTTTGTGTGTCTTTCTCAGCTACCTTAATGTATTTTATGGTAATTCTGAGTTAATTGTATTCTGTTATTCTGTTTTTTGTATTCTTTGATTAGGCAACTCCCTTATTTTGCAGCCACTACAGAAATATTAATTTCTGATTTTAAAAGGCTCTATGAGAAGAATCGTATCATAATGTATCTCCATGAGATTTTACTGAGCATGCTAGCCTGGAGCCTATGGAAAGATCATTGTTTTCGATGTGCATAAACTGTGCATGCCATCCATAACAATTTCACCAAAATATGTAAAAGCACTTTTTTTTAAAAAATGTAGTTTTTTGTGCAGCACTAGCAAATATGGTAGTGTTATTATTACTCCCTTTATTATGGTGTAACATTTGTATCTTTCAGTTTGAAAAATGTGTTTTTAAAGGTATACATAGGGAATGGGAAGCCTACAAAGTACAAATTAATAAATAAATGACTAAGCGTGGATCAAGTACTGTACATGACATCCGCTCAGACCCTGCAATGCTGCCAGCTCAATCACTGAGTAAGGAAGACTCTGAGGGTGTGTTCACTTCTCCGACTGGTTGTTCCCGTTCTTTAGGAGAGGAAAGGGCACTTAGAG